AGTTTTTATGCGTAACAATGTGTTTAAAAAACACATGAAGAGAATTGATGTCCACGGGTTATTAATTTGAAGTCCTGTTGTTCAGCGACTTGGCTGAAATTAATAAACTACCCTACTTCACACTGCCTAAACAACTGGTACATTTCTCTTGCACCTGGAAGCCTGAAGCTGTTTTGGGATGTTGTGCGCAGCCAAAAGTATGTTCCCTTCAAGTGTTTTGAGTGTTTTTATACTATGTACCGTCTGTGTGTGTGCACGCACCTCCAGCCAAGGTTTAATCCCTCCCCGTCTAAACAGCCGTAAGAGGTAAGAGGGAAATTCCAGACACTTCAGAGTTCCTCCAGAGTTGGATAGCAATGTCTGTAAACCTGCCATTGTTTGTCATAAATGAACAAACTGTTGAAATGAATGGTAGTCCATCCAAAAATCTACAACACACACTTGATATAAAGACAAACCTCACACAAAAACATGAAATCCTAGATTATTGGATCACTCAATTGTAGATCATACATGATCGATCATGATTTAGCAATAGATGTGGCATCACTAGTATAAGACCCTACAAGAACATTCAGCTGATGTTGCACACCAGCACTTCACCTGTCAAATGACTTTCTTCACATTTGTCTGAAAACAACAACTGAAGATAAATGTACAGCTTTGTACTGGAGTTGTTTGTCCTGATGCCTTGCAAGCATCTGCGTTTTTCATAGACTGTCTCTTCATGGAGGGTCTAAAGCATTTGTCAAGGTCTAGGGCCCCTTTCTCATGTACATTACATAACACTTCTCAGACATCCCACACAAATAAATCAATTGTGAGGGTTAAGGTGTGGCAATATGAAGTTTCTTTTTTTGTTTGTTATTGTTTGTTAGTTTTGTTTTAATAAGTAGAGGTACAACATTAATATCCTGTTGAACATCCTCATTATTATGTGTTTCTGTTTCCCTGCTGATATACTGTGTGTGTCTGTGTGTTTGTGTGTGTGTGTGAGTTACTGTTCAGATCTAGCAGGGTCAGTGGTCACTGCCCACTTCTTCATAGAAATACAAGTTTTTGTTCCTTTATGACACATTATAAAAGGCCTTAAAGTATTTGTCATTGATACAAGTGTTGCATATCCCTGCAAAATACCAAATAAAGTGTTTTTCTGTATCATGGACAGCTGATACATGCCCAAAGCTGCAATGAAATGGATTTATTTGGCTGCTTTAACTTTTATTAGTAAATGTCATCAGTTTTCTGATTGCAAACATTTTCTTCATGTATATTTCTTTTCATCTATCAGCTCCAGTATTACAATAAAAACCCTGACCACTGACCCTGCGTTACTCATACATGGTGTCATTACATGCTTTTATATAAATGCCTCCAAAAAATTGACATTGACATGACCTTTGTTTATCTCCTGCACCAGCTGCTCCACAGGATACAAGCAGTATTTTGGTGGCTACAGCTGTATTGTAAACTCTGTGACTCAAAAGTACTGTGAACATGGAGTGAATCTCGCATTTATTAGAATTTATTGCAGGTCCAGCGATGCACTCAGGATGTATCACTCTAGCAGATTAGTCTCAACAAAAACTGAACATAAGCCTCACAAAGGTAATACATATTGCAGCATGTTTGTATTGAATGGCATTACACTGTAGAGATGTACCTAACCCTATAGAGTATTATATATAGTGAAGGGCATCTCCTTTTGTACTTCCAAGTCAGATTTTAAAATCTAAATGGTGAACCACGAGGCAGCTCCCACACATGGATTACTCATCAGTTCTTAAAGCCTTGATTGTACATTGTAGAAAATTCACAAAGATTATGAATTCATACAAATACTCCACAATGTTTAAAGCAATTCAGAAAGTATTTATTGACAACCATATATAACAAATTCCTCTTCTCACCTCACAATCACTCCTGTTAAGCTTATTGATTAGAACTCATCCATTTTTATTGCGGGTGGACAGCGTCCAGCAGCCCCCAGGGAATCTCATAAATCCGTCATCTTGCCTGCTTTTAAAACTGTCAGAAATAGAATAAATTGGCATTTCTATCCAGGTGCGATCCCAGCTGGGTCTTTAATATACTCTTGCACTGTATGCTCTGCTCATATCATGCTCCCACTCCATTTGCACCACGAATGCCACCTCATTTTTCACCCCTGTGGTGTAATATTGTAGCTCACATTGTGACCTTTAAAAAGCAAAAGATCAGTATTCCTCTGTTGTGTAATGTAATGCACACAAGGAGTTGAAATTTCTGGCATATACAGTATCTGTCTCAGGCAACTGTACATGGAATTTATGTTTTAGTTTGTTTACCTGTTGGTCCAGACTAAAATATCTCATAATAATGACCATGGTTCAGCATAGTCATGCTTAAATGTTGTTCTATTACTGGGTTTACTTGGCATGAGGGACAATAACTAATTGGACAGCTAATAATATGCTTTTGCTCTTCAAAGATTAACTACTGTCTCCTTCACTATGGAGTACACAGGCTTTAGGCGAACAAAAAACAGAAAAAACATTTCACTCTCTTACCAGAGACTAAAATAAGAACCAAAGTTTTGATAATGTGTAACATAATCAAATCTACTCTCAATTATCACCAGGTAGATGGAAGACTACGTATGATAATTAAATGTTTTATAGAGAAACCATGCATGTTGTTTGTTTCATTACTAGATATATTAAGGCCATGTTCTCTACTGTTATAAATTTCACTCATGAAAACAAAAAGACAAGAACTTCATCCTCATTAAATAAAAGAAACTTACCACACTGGTGTTTAAATGAACAAACAGACTCTAAAATCCAGAAAACTTATTCTCTTGAAAATACATATTTGCTGTAGTCCCAAACGGATCCCATTCTGTGATGTGCGAGGGAAAAAAACAAGCTTAAAACCGCTCAACATCTCTGTAACACCTCAAGTGATCACAATATGTGATGTTAAAATGATTTGTCTCACACACACACAACAGCTGGCAATGGGGCAAGTTACTCTTTCCAACTTTTCCTCATCAAGAGGTAAGGTAAATTAGTGTAGTGCATTGCAGTAGTGTTATTTCGTATTATAAATACAGAAACTGAGCCAATATTAGTAGCAATAAAATTGCTGACACAAGTAGATTACACACAAAGTTGATGCAAAAACAGACACAAATTTGTGGCGGGAGACGCAAATGATGCAAATTGGGCAAACACACAAAATTCGCACCATTCATCCCCAGCCCGGGGAGCTCATTCACTGGTAAGAAGAGAGCTCGGAGTAAATATTGAATTGAAAAGTGGATTTATCTTATCTCTTGATTCTGAACTTGTTTGCTGCGAGTCATGGAGGTGCCACTCCCACCTGTAGCTGTCTGTGTAAAACCAGAACTCTATGATGCTATGTATTTACACAGACTGGACAAAAAAGTAGAGTAAGAAAAGTAACCCCCAAATTCCACTGGACACGGCTGCGTCGTGTTCTGGCTCCACCGTGGTCGCTAGAACTAATTTTGAGAGGAAGTTGGACTACCTGGTAAGTGCTGAAAGGACTTCAGTTGTACTTTCCTATGAACTAAGTTAGCATAGCCCTGATAGATCACAACTGAGTTCCGAAAACATGAATTTTAAAAGTTGTTTGCTTGCTGTCTTGTGGACAAAGATGATGTAGGTATTTCGGCATCCTTTTGATCCCTTTATTGTACTTCAATAATCGTTAAATCTGTTTAGTTCGGGCTCACACCACCGTAGTAAGCCAGATTAGAGGACGAATATTCCTATTCCTATACACAGATACAAACAGCCAGAAAACAACATTTGTGATAACTAGTGCTGGAACTAACAATTAGTTCCATTATTGATTATTCTTTTATTATTATTATTTATTTTCTCCAATTGGTTTGTTTGTCCAACCAAAATTTGCAAACCTAAAGATTAAAGTATATTTTTTTTGGGGGGGGGGACTTTTATTGCCTTTATTTGATAGAGACAGCCGAAGGTAGACAGGAAAGGGGGCAGAGAGAGGGGATGACACGCAGCAAAGGGCCGCAGGTCGGACTCGAACCCTAGTCGCCAGCTCTACCCACTGAGCTAACCGGGCGCCCCAGACCTAAAGACTAAAGAAAACCCGGAATACCTTTCATATGAGAAGCTCAAACCAGAGAATATTTTTTCTGCTCCAGTAATAACTAATGAAAGCAAACTAACAGTAAACAGAACAGGTGAAAAAGGCACCTGTTAAATATATTACAATATGGAAAGTTGACATCCAGGACCTATTTGCATGCTTGTTTAGGCACACTCAGACTGTATACATACACTCATACACAAACTCTCCGAGCCACACATGCACCATTATGAAACGCAGATATTGCCCCTGGTGAGATGTTCTAGATGGGGAGAGAGAATGAATGAATTTGAGAGTAAAAAGCTGGTTTCCCCAGATGCTCTGCAGGGGCTGCACTCAGTCCACTAGAAACCTTTTTGTACAACGCTTAAAGTGTTTGGCATGGACATATGAATCTACAGGCACAGGATAAACCTCTGGCGGACCACATCTGAAACACATCCACTGATGTCAAATTCATCCATCCAAAAACCAAAACAGCTCATTTTTAAAAACCCAGCAGTGAGCCAGCAGAGGGGAGGAAAAAGTCTATAGAGCAGACAGATCCTTGACTGGAGCACCTCCACTTTCCACTCTCTCAACATGTGCAACATTAATATTTGTGCCCAGTGAACCTCCACTCATACAACCAGAGCTGAAAAAGTTTTCAAGTTTCTATCTGTCTGTCTTAGCTTTTTACATACAAAAAGGCAGATGCAAGGACTAACACTTATCTCTGTATCCCTGAAGTGACATAATCTTCTTTCTCTAACTTTCCCTAAATCACACGTGCGTGCTCACACGTTCAGCACCCACACTGACACACATACGCAAATTGATGCACCCACGTCCACACACTCCTCTCTCATCAGTCTGTGGCAGGTTTCGTCACTCACCCTGGCTGTTGGGTCCCCCCTCTCCCTCCTCGCAGTCTGTCATGTTGTTCAGCATCCTCTCTCCTCCTCAGGCTGTGCGCACTGAGCACAGCTCTTGATCCTGTTGCTCAGAAAGAAAAGCTCTGGGTGGGCAGGAGCCTACGACAAGATGCGCTTTACTTCTGCGTCTCACTGCCTCTGGTAGCTCAGTTAAAAAAACTGTAGAGAAAGGTAAGCAACATTTTATCCTCTCTTTTAGTTATCTTGTCAGTTGCGTGATTCCCCCTGTCTCTCTTCAGGAGGAGGATGGAGAGACTGAGAGAGGCTGCAGGGGGAGAGTTGATGATGGTGCTCGGTGTCACTCACATGCACGCTCTCAGTCTCTGTGCACCACTCGCCCCCCAGTCAGTTTAAGCCTGATGACTACATTCATCATGTATTCAGAAGGTATTATCCCTCCCTCCCTTCCTCTCTCTCTCTCTTTCTCTCCCTCACGCACGATCATCATCATCCATCTCATCATGAGAGAGGGATGGATGGAGAGGGATTGAGAGACAGAGGGGATGCACGTCAGATGACAAAGTACTGCCTCCTGAGATTAAGCATCTCCTTTGATGTTCTTTTCAGATGGAAGACGAGATTCCATTTCATTACTGTGTATTCATCCCTCTTTTGTTATTTTTCCCCCACCCTGCTTCTCTCTTTTATATTTTCCTGTGTGGCCGTGGCCCATTATCTATGGAAGGGCTGCGGGCTACACTTGTGTAACTCTGTGAATTTAAAATGCAAGCCTCTCACCATTACCACACACACAAACTCTCCTGGATAAGTTTGCGTGAGGGACTATTTTCTGAATTTAAGCTTTTATTTTAAATCTTCATCTAAATTACAAAACTGACAAACACTTCTGAGTGCTGTTCTGAGTCGATGTATAGGCAGGGATGGGAAACTTAGTAGTGTTTTATTTATTTATCACACATAAATCACATTCTGCTGATGATAGGTTGAAACCTGAAGTTTGTATCTTTGGAAAGGCCCTCAACTCTTTCCATACCTATTTAACAGTATGAGCATGTTTTAAGTCCCATTATATTCCGGTGTTCCACATGGTTCAATCCTTGGTCATCTCCTTTTTTCCTTTACATGCTTGCACTCAGCCACAACGTAAATTTTCATAGCTATGCAGATGACACACAACTGTACATATCGTTAGCACCAGATATTCCCAACAGTTTGAAGTGAGTAAGATTTAGGAGGCTCTATTAAATTAATATGGCAGCAAAGGAATATACTATGCATAACTATGTTTTCATTCGTGTACAATCACCTGGAATTTATGTTTCTACAGAAGCATAAAACCAACTCACCACCATAGTTTTGGTTGCCTTCTGCAATCTCACCATTAGATGCCACTAAAGCTTACACACTGGTCATTTGAATTATTTGGTAGATGTGTAACAACTATTTGAAATTAAATGAAGACAGACCTGAAATTGTTGTCATTGATGCTGATTGTGAAAGAGACCAAATTCTAAGTGGACTTAAAACTTTGGCAAAGCAGACTCAGTCTAAGTCAAACAGCTTGGCTGGCTGTCATCAGGGACAACAATTTAACCTTATTGACACATCAGTAAGATATACTATATACTGCTTTATTGTATTTCAGTGTTTTGTTTTCCACCTTTTACTTTATTTGCTTAAATGTTTATTTTTTATCTAAACAATTTAATGGAGAGAACTTTGCAGAGAAGCTCTATAAATATTTTTGTATCTTTTTACTCCCGTTTTAGCTTCTACTGGAACATGTGTCAGTTTCACACGTCTCTTCTCAGACCATAGTGTTTTACCAAGACAATGAGTAAGATTTCCATCAATAAATTGTAATTATGGCATGGGGGTCACCTAAAGGACCCTGAGCTCCAGTAAAATTCCAATTTGTAAGGAAGGTAGCATCATGCAGCTGAAGAGAAGTGGCTTAATGAGTAGAAATGATAGATTGCAACAAATGAAAAATTAAATAAAAGGATGTGGTACAGCTGGTTGATGGGGGGCACAAAGGCACAAAATAGGAGGAAGATTAGAGGAGTAAAGTGAGGAGAAGCTAGAAGATGAGGTAATTAAGGAAAAGATAGACAAGAAAGAGACACATACAGGTGGCTGTTATTGAGGACTAAAATGCTACAGGCATTTGGATTATACATTCTTGTGTGGTGCATGTATCATCCCATACTGAAGTTTAGAGAGCATCACTAATCCACACCACCTGCCTAGTGATAAAGATAGCATGGCCAAAAACACAACTGGCATTTAATGGATGACAGGAGAAAAAAAAAAGCCTTTTTCAAACCATTAGTATTTGTATGCTTGACATTATGTCACAGTGAACTGTGTGCCCATCTCTGGTTAGATGATCTCTGAGTTTTGGCAGATGTTCAGAGAGACTTTATCCTCACTGACTGGCACCAACTACAGACTGCATCATGTTTGCTCGTGTCACGCCGCGGTGCTCAGTCCTCGCTGATATTTTAAACATCATGTATTCTTCTGGCTCCACTGTAATTACCCCGAGAAAGCTGACATAATGTTTGACAGGAGCGAAGGAGGAGAGAGGAATTGCTACTAATGAAGGAGGGCTGTGCTGAAACTGGTCAGATGGAAGCTGCAGAGTAGGTCACAAGAGGGGAAGAGGCAATTCATAAGGATAATGGGGCATTTTAGGCTATAATCAAGCATGTTACCCTTGTGAGAACAGCACATTTAAAAGAAGAAACACAAAAAACATAGACTGCTGATTTTTAGCTACCACCTCAAAATCAACACTCCCTGCAACATGATGAGAACATGATCTCAATAATCATCCTCGACCATGCATATCAAGATTTATTTTCTGTTGGACTTGCATTTTGCTTTTATCGATACGCCAACTTTTCCACCTGAGCCAACTATTTTTCAATATTTCAAGCTTTTAATTTTTCAGTGTTTCCACAAGTTTTTCAAGCACAAATGTATGCGCATAAAACAAAGACTGAAATGCACTTAACATAAACATGTTAGCAAACAGCTGCTTATTTACACACCCAGCTGATAAAATTGTCATTCATATGGAGTTATGCTGTGTGTCTTGGTTTCCACCAACTCCTGAGGGAAATTGCTCTTTAACTTCTAAATGCATGTGCATGTGTTCACCAGCGAACTTAGTCTTTTTGCTGTTTGAGGTGCTGTACAGTGGGTTTTTAGAGCTTTTCCTCTGATAACTGCTGCCAGCTGTGACCAAAACTATTACCCTTTTTCCACCAAGGCAGTTTGAGGGGACTCTCGAACACCACACAAACACTCAACCAAAAAACGCTTAAGACAGGGGGCTGGGGGGGACCTTGTGGCTAGCCAGCTATGTATTTATTAGCTGTTTTGCCCATAGATATTAGGAACGTAACATTGAGCTAGCTAGCTAGCTAGCCATTGGTTGGCTAAAATTACCCAAGCAAGCATAGATACTAATTTCTCACATCAATGTTTTGTTTGTTACTTTAATGTTATGTTTGACGTTTGTAACCTTGATGTGAGAAATTAGTAGCTATACTTGCTTGGGTAATGTTAGCTGACTGTCAGGTAACATTAGTGATATAATGCCGTAGCTTTATGATGGCTCTCTATCCTGTGGCAGACCAGTTCTTAGAAAGTTTTCAAGTTGAACCCACTCTGAACCTGCACTAGCACCAGCCCAGAACTAGCTCTAGGTTTGCAATGGTAGAAAGGTAGTATATTAGATTGGTGAGAGTGATCCCTTTCACATACTTATAAACAAGGAGTAAATGTTATTTTGAGTACAGCCCTCATTTTTAGTCTCTGCCCTAAATGTAATGATCTGTTATTTCATTCACCATACTATGTCTGTACTATATGCTGTGGGTTTCACGTACATATATGCGTGTGGCCTGACTCACCGTTTCCCTGCCCTGTCAGTGAGAGTGGGCTGTTGGCTGGGCTTTGATTGGCAGAAAGCCTGAGAGCCATCTTCATCTGGGCCAAGCGGCTTTAGCTCTTAACCCATGGGCACCTCCCTCCCTCCCTGTCTGTCTGCCTGCTGCACATGTGGCTCTGGATACTACTGCTCACACACTCATTCACACCTATGTTGGTATGGAAAAGCATGTAAGCCACGCAACACACAAGCAAGTTACCTGCAAAAAAATCTTTAAAAAAACACAAACACACACACAAATGCACACAGACACAAAACACACACAGGGAACCTTCCGATGCCCTAATCCTGCAGATTAAGGCCATGAGCGCTGGATTTGATTTTTTTTGATGGTTTTTTTTAAATAAACAACATAAAATGACATAAAATGAATCAGAACCTTTATATCTGTTTTACTAAAAAACTTTAAACCCTTTTCTCAGCATCACTGTTTTACTGCTATCAGTACATTAGTATCTATATGACTATGTTGAACTGACATGTTATTTAGAATAAAAAGAATAATGTAAGCTTTTCATATGGAAATATATCAAATACAAAACATATGAAGTTTGCACACTAATGGGTGGTGATTTTTCCATTGTTATTATTATCCATGTTATTCCTTATATTAGATGTCTGTACCATGTCTTCATCTCCATCATGAACTGAATTTCTAAGGGGGTTATCAGTCGCCATGATGCAGCTCACACAGGGCAGCGGGTCTTGAAGTTGACAGAGTGCAACATGCAAAAGTCCTTTAATACCTACAGGGGCAGCTTTGTCATTATTGGCAACGCTGTCCTGGGAGGTTTAAGATTTACGACTGATATGGGGATCTGGGAGCAGTCAGGAGGAGGGATGAGAGATAGATCTGTTCTGAATTTGTCCCCAAGCTGGACTCTACGAGGACATCCAAAGGCAGAAATGATCTCTGGTCCTGCCATCTGTCTGTCAACACTAGCATTTCCCTGAACAACAGGGAGAGCAATATATACAGTATATGCCCCTACTGCCCCCGCCACCTGCCAACCACCCATCCTCCCTTCCCCCCAACCCGAATAGCACTTTAGCTATAAGCACAGTCAGAGGAGGATTCAGCCTTGGTCGACGTTTTAGGCCACGCTGCATTTCAGTGAGCATGGGTCAATATTATAAGCTGGTTCCTTCCATTACATTAAATGAATTAGTCAAAAACATTTTGGAAAATACACTTTGCATTTTCCTGCTGAGAAGTGGATCAGAACATTGATACCATTCTCATATTTCTTCGTTTAATATTAAGCTACAGCCAGGAGATAGTTTGCTAAAGATAAATTGAAGGCTATGATGTTGGTAAAAAAAAAAAGTAAACTAAAACTAAAAGATTTTTTATGCATATCGTGGTGTGTTCTTTGTGCTATAAGAGTTGCCTAAAATTTTATTTTTTTCAAATTAAATTGAAATATATCACTATATTTTGAATTGTAACTCTCTTGCCAACCTTGGAGGTTATATGCTGGATTATATCTTGACTTCCTGAAATCTTGTCGTAGAATAAGCATACTTCTTCTCATTGGGAGTGATTTCTGAAACAAACCCTCCTTTCAAGTCACTTAAATAGACAGAAAGATGGGGATATTACAGGATAATGTGACCATTGTAAACCTTGTCATCAAGGAAAATTTAATTATATCACATACTTTTGGAGTGTCTTCTATTATATAGTGTACATATATAAAAAAGTGTGTCTATTGGAAAGGAGAATGTTTCATCTCCAGGTGAGGTAGAGTTCATCAACTTTTGTTTGGTTCAACTTTTATTCTATATAATTTTATATTTAAATCATCTGATGACTTTCATGTAGAAAAATACGGACAGAATGTACATGTGGAATCTATACACTGTCATATCAATTTCGTGTGCAAATCTGATCAAAGAGCTTGAGGTTAAAGGTCACAAGAATTTAAAAAACAGCTACAAGCCATCTGGATTACAGACATGATAACAGTAAAAAGGGGAAATTTAAGAAATAAATCACAAAGGAATAATGGCTCAGACACCCCATCTAAGATCATATTCATACAACAGTATGATTGATTCGATCTGAGACTTTAAACCTGAAATACATTTTTTTTTTACTATATTCACCAGGTGCGTTTAGAGCTGCCTGCTTGGGCCAAAATAACTACATTAACTTCCAAAATGATACTATGAGAGCAGTGAGAGTGAACCAAAACACTAAAGTTGTGGGCCGCTGTTGTGTCCAGATCTGTTTTTCCATCGATTTGTGTTCCCCCTTACCTTATCCTGAACTAAAACAATACCCCTAATCCCAGCCAGTTTTTGATAAAAAAAATATAAATTTAAGCAGCATTAAGGTACATTTTATTCATGTGGTACAATTTTATACAAATGCATTTCAAAGTGCTTAAGTGACCAAACTAACTAACAAAAATAAAATGTTTATTTGGTAGAGCAGCATCAGATTTCCAGTTTACCGTAATTAGAAGAACTGGGTAAGTTGGGTAAATTTTAGCTAACATAAACATCTTGTGAGTGAAGGTCATGCAGTGTTTGCCAGGACTCCTGCTGTGTGATTGTGTGATTGTGTGGTTTTGTTTTCTACCTTGGTATGAGTGAGGTCTGCTTGTTGGGTTTGTCTGTCTGCTTGTTCCCTTCCCCCCTTGCCCTCTCTCTTTCTCCACTCACAGCTCTTCAGCTCCTTTGAACTTGTTAGCCAGTGTAGTCTTTTGATTACCAGCCAGCTTACCAAATTTTTATAGCCGTTTCCTCTGCCACCAGATTCGCCTGTCTGCCAGCTCTCCACACCGATTTTCCTCTAACACCTTCACCACCGGACCCAAACCCCTGACTTCAGCCAGCTTCCAGATCACCCTTCTTCGCACCAAAAGAATAAAGACTTTGTGTTCACTATTACCAGTCTCAGTCTGCTTTTGGGTTCAGCCTCAGAATCGTGACAGTGTTATTCTTGTATATCCACAAAACAAAAAAACAATAAAATGAATCAAATAAAATCCAAATCCAATACAATCAAAAAATGTCATTGCCTCTCACTGAAGGGCCTGCTTTCCTTGTGTATCTTTTCACATAAATAATCAAAAAAGATATTAGAAAGACTGGCTACAAATGACCAACAATGACGTGCTGACACTTTAGTGATTTACAAATTGTACTCATACCAAATTTAGCACAACCCCTGAGAGTCCTCAATAAATGATAATAAATGAAGGCGGCTTCTGAAAATGTGTCTAATCTCTGTAAATTAATTAAGAATGACAGGAAATAAAAATAGTTGATAGACGGGTGGAAAAGACGGAAGGAGTCCCAGTTGATGAATTATTCATAAGGCTAATCGGACTGACATTTTATGTCCCCATCTCACTTACAATGTCAGTGTATTTGCATGTGAGGAAGACGAACTTTGTGCAAATTTCTTGCAGCGGTTCAAATCTGCCTGAACACAGATGCACACAGAGCCCGGAGTGACACATCCTGCCTCTGAATCTTCCAGCTGCAGTATAGTTTAAAAAATCAAGTTTATTTAACTGAATAGATGCAATATCATGTGGGCCAGTAATCCTCTCATTTCAAATGTCTTTAATTTTCTGTGTGCCTTTGTCTTTACCCTTCATGTTTTATGGTTTTGTCCCCTGAATGACCTTGGTTTGATCTTTGCCACTGGGATTCGACAAGATTTGTCTGGGGGGATTCAATAAGGCCATGGGTCACTTAATTGAACAGTATGGATTGTACATATAAGTACAAAGTTGGCCGTAAAAAAGGTACTGCAAATGTAAAGGTCTGTACATCCGGGAAATATCTGTATGTATATCACAATGTTAAGGAAAGGACATAATAAAGCAAAAGGCTACAGTGTGATAGGGTCTCTTGCATTATGGTATTGATACATGGTGATACGTTTACTTGTGACACTGAGGCAGAGATTTTCCCTTCTGACAGTTTGTGGCTGTTTTACATTTGAATGATGGCAGGTGTGTTCATACCGATATCCAAAAAATGCTCTCGCACAGAACCTCTTCACCTCAGCTGTTTGGAAAAGTTTGTGACAATATTTTATAGATATATATATTAAGTATATTAAGGATTGGGAAGATTACTTAAAAAATTAAATCTGATACTAATGGCCTGTTAAAAAAACATACAGTAACCTAATCCAAGAATCACAATATTAGAGTAATGTAACTTGATTACTTTCAATTATTTTTGGATTACCTCAACACCAAATATGTAAATAAAGACAAGAGAAAGATGATGTTATATTCTATCAGACAACAGAACAATGCAACCAAAAGAAAATAGGGAAATGGGGGAATTTTTTGCATCAACAATGTATCCTCTGCCTAGTGTATTTTTGCTCTTTATTAAGCAAATTCTTGCAGCTGGAAGGCATAATTTACACTGTACTGTAATGTTTTTTAAAACTAATCCCGATAATAATCCCCATTTTTTCAAAATGTAACTGTAATCTCATTAGGGTTACCTTTTTTTTATATTCTGATTACATAACTCAATTACATGTAATCCGTTACTCCTCAAGCCTGGGTATATTATTGATTGCTGCAATTTGAAAAACCAAACATTTCTCTTACAGTAACACAGATATTATGATATACTGTATACTGTGGAGATTTATCATACCATAAGCTCAATTGAGAACAGCTGATAGAAGACAGTAAGTAGGCAACATCTGGAACAAATCAATATATAGTCTAACATGTGAGTGTATTTGGTGGTTGATATAGATGAAATTGCTTTTCAGGGATCTGAATAAAGCAGGGGTCTCAAACTAAAATTGGCTTGGGGCCATCTCACAGGAGGGCCACTTCAACGTTTTAGCAAGAAAGTGCAATATTCTGAAAATATTTCCATTAATAACATCATACTTAACAAAACAAGAAAAATGCAAACCCTTCCCCCCTCGGGCCGGCAGTTTGAGATTCCTGGTATGAAGGCTTTTGGTGCAGAAATCTAGCGACACTAAGATGGATTTTTAAACTATAATATGATGCTAATTGTGTGTTATATAGAAAACATGTCTCCTGGGAAAGAAAATGTCTCATCTATGGTTTAATGGCAAGTGAAATTTCAGGTTGCGTGGTTCTTTTGTGTATTAAGCATTAAAAGAAGCATTTAATGAACTGATGTAAGTGAACACAGGGAAAGATATATGGGCAATCTAAAATAAAATGCCTAATAACGTAATTTAGTTATTTCCTTTTTATGCATTTATTGTGTCATAATTAAACAAAAACATATGTTAGACATACATGTGTTTAGGGTTTGTATTTAATAACTGAACTGTGATATACATTTTCAATGTAGACCTGCCAATAATGTTTTTAATTTGAATTTTTTAAATCTTAAATCTTCCATAAAGACACCAATGAAGATAACATTTACACTATACTACCTATGCTTTCTCCAGCCAGAGGTGATACAACTGTGTCCTCAAATGATCTTCCATCTATCCACGATTCAGCCACATCAATCCCACAAGAACATAATCAGCCCCCCAAAAATATTCTGAATTGATCTGTCACTTCCTCATAAATGTTTTTTGGGTCTCTAATCAAAGTGGTTAAGCAGTTTTGGTCAGAAAAAATGTCCAACAGTGTAATCCTTTTTTAGCAGTACAATCCTCTCAGCATGATGACGTACTGTAGCCAGTCTGACAGCTCAGTGACAGGAGCAGCATCTCCTGGGTTCACTCTATATACGGTACTGCCTTTATTGTTGGTTAGTTGAATAACATGCACTTATTTTCAGATCAATCTGAAGCGATGGCTTCTTTTTCTGCAGATGTTTAATAGGAGAAAACTTCTACGAGTTGGTTGGAAGTGCTTTGGATGAAAGGAAACACACTGTACAACAGCAATTAAAGCTCAGTTACAAACACACAGAAACCTTTATGCTTTAGCTTAGATTAAAGGTCCAGTCTGTAACATATAGGAGGATCTACTGGCAGAAATTTAACACATTATTCATAGGTATGTTTCCATTAGTGTATAATCACCTGAATATAGGAAATGTTGTGTTTTTCATTACCTTAGAGTGAGCTGTTTTAATCTACAAAATACATTCCATGGAGTCTGCCATACTTAATTGCCATGTTTCTATAGCCAAGAAGGGACAAACACTGGCTGTAGGGCTTCTTGTGTTTGAGAAGTTAGGAAATATGCTTTTTTGCTGATTTATGAGGAGATTGATATCTAACTCAAGGATGCAGGTAAGTGTTTTCCCAAAATGCTAAACTATGCCTTTAAGCGACCTATCTTTGCTTAAACCTTGATATTGTGTAGTTGAATTGGACACATTTTCTCTGTTAAAGCGCCACATGTATTCCTGAAACCTGTCAGACAATCAAACTCGACTGACTAAAATTGTGTTAAAATGTTAATCTTTTATTAAATTGCAGGAGTTAAAGCACAATAAGTTAAACACCTGTACACTATTCTGCAAACCAATACAATAACCCCACTACAAATATCATCACTGCAAGGCTCACAGTGTCCAAGTGAGGCTAAATTTCCAACTATGGCCTTAAATGTTCCCACAGTAACTTCTCTGACATATATCTAACACACGATGACTCCATTACTGTTCAGGACATGCAAAATGTAACCCCGTAGGTACTACTGCTTCTCTGCTTTTGAGATTTGCTGTGCTGGATGGTCACCAACAGATGGCGACACAGACTGCGTGTCTGCTAGTTCTTTAGTTGCACCTTTTTATGAGTATGACTTATGATTTAGTTAAGTCCTGTGCTTACACATAATGTAGGTATGTAGCACTATATTATGCCTTATGTCAGTTCTAGTGGTCTTGTCAAACTATTTTCAAAGACTTAGTCAGGGTTTTTCTTCTGTCTTGTTTGACATCTGCCTCCTTTGAGATTCTGCCTTGAGGTTTTTACTGTTCTGCCCTCATGACAGCTCACTGGAATTTAAATTTGGACACTCATCTGGGAGGATTGTTGGGATTCACATCTATCATACTCCAGTCAGTACGGATACTGTGAGAGCAATTCCTGAGAGATCTTTTCATCTCTGTGTTGTTTCATGACTGCAAATGAGGCGTAAAAAATAAAAATTTAATTAAAAAAAACTGGCTGGGATTTTGTAAAAATAATCCAATTTCATCATCAAAAGGGGATTTTAGACAGCTACAATAAAAAGAACACTGGTTGCCTTTTTGCTATTCATTTTCATCAACATCATTAGAAGCTCAAAACCCTGTCTGTGGATCATCAGACACAATTTAAAACAACCAGATTAATATTTTCTACAACTGCATCCAAATCATGTTGCTCTTCTCATCCTCTCAGCTGTAAATTGGAACGGTAGTGATGCACGATGACCTCAGTGATCCTGACGTAAGCACAAAAGAAGCATCGCCACACACCCGTTATGCAATCAGCAAGTCTGTTATCTAAACTGAAACCGATGCGAAGTGGAATCGTTAGTTAAATAAAAAAAAAAAATCCATAATCCAACATTGAACATACAACATACATACAGTCATAAATATGAGATTGTCTATTTACATTTTTTTTTTCATCTTTATAGTTTTGATGCATAGCAGGTGGATATAACTTTTAAAACATGGTAGGCAAATGGCAAAAACAATGAGACAAAAAAGTCAACTAATTTGGTTGTCACTTTTAAGATTATTGATTTTTATAGGTAAAAAAAAATGTCTACAAGCCTACATGGATTGGAAATGGACTACAGGCTTTACTGTAACAAGAAAGGTGAAACAGAGATAATCTGCCACAACAAATTGACACCAAAACCACCAACATAATTTACTAACAGGTCAGCGCGTGCCAAATACAGATTTCTGAAATGTTTAAAAACATCTTTTCTAATGACTGGCTTACAGCCTTATGTAACCTCTGCACCGCACAATAATCGCAGTCATATTTGTGAGCAGTGTTTTTGGCACAGCATCAGTAAACTGCTATCTCCTCAGTGGGTGGACCCCTGCTGCACGCTGAGCTAAGTAGAGCCAGATCGCTGTGGGCAGCATGAGAAGAAGCCAGTACGTGTGAATTATTAGATGACCTTCCATGCAGCCAGAGACATGAAACAATCTCCAGATGAGTCCTTCCTCTGTAGAGAACAGATCATGGAACCCTGGTTTCCACGGCAACAGGGCACCAAGTCGACTATAGCAACCAGCACATGTGTCTGGAGGTGTTTTTCTTTCTCTCTGTTCCTTCAATCCCTTTCTTCTTTCAAGTCACATACCTCTACTGTGAAATCCTCAACATCCCACGAGACAACGGAAAGATTCAATCTAATGAGTTTTTGTGGTGCAATTTTGGGATATTAAAGGAATAGAGCAACATGATTCACTTTATTGCTGAGAGTTAGATAACATTGACGCCACTCTCATGTCTGCCCATTCAGTTTGAAGCTAGAGCCAGGAGACAGCTTGGCTCTGTGCAAAGTTAAAAGATTTGGTGTAGTGACTAAGCATCCAGCTAAGCTAAGCTAACATCTCCAGGCTACAGCGTCATATTCAATAGAAGGAATTTGCTGTCGCTATACGTCACGACCCAACGAACTGCTTGAGCTGACCGGAAGCAGTAGTTTGTCAGCTAGTGTTGCTGAGTTGTTTTCTTTAAATTAGCTTCATGTTTAATGGACAGACAGTGGTATCAATCTTGCTTTCAGAAAAGGCTAATAACAGTGATATCCATTAATGATTATACTGACCTGAAATTAAAACATGCGAGATCAGTGAGAGAGTTCATACATTTCAAGTTTTTATTTAGTACTGTATTAGTCATCATAGTGATTGGACTTGTGAAAAACAAATTAATACAGTGCATATGTTGTAAGTATCAGTTTAATTTTGCTTCAGCGATTTCCTACATATGTAATCTATTAGCCACCAGACACTGAAACATATTTCATTTTTATCTCAAAGAGAATGGCCAAAGAGTCCCTTCAGCTCGGATTGACTGAGAGCCTGAAGAGAGATTTCATTTTCCCCAAAAGAGTGTGCATTGCTTCAGTGCATAGAGCAATTAGACTATTAACTATAAGAACTATAACTACTTTATGTCAAATACATGTACTATTTCTCTAGTTCTCAGGCTGCCTCCAAAGTCAACAGTGTAAGATGTTCGTAAAGGTTTTTCAGCACCAGACAAACAGATGGCAACTGTTTCAGTACATATGATGTGCACAGATAACCTGCCAGTTGGGTTTCTACACAAAACCATCTGGGACATTGTCCTTATAAACAGTTTGGAAGGCAAACCCATCAATTATTGTTGTTTTTGCTGTAATCACAACAACCACACCTTTTGCTGTCTGAACCACTTGGACACAAGCGCATTAAGTTGAAGCCTGGTTAAATGCATTCCAGCGAATCCAGCTGCCTCACAAGCAGTGTTGGGCAAGTTCCAAAAGTAGTGGAACTACAGTAATGGCTTACTTTTGTAATGCTTACAATGTAAGTGCACAGAAAAGAGGGTAAAAAAAATAGCACACCACTGACTAGAAAATATAGCAGTGGAACAACTATTGCAGTACCAGTGGAGTAAGTACTGTGGTGGTGATTATAAGAGACCACGAGGGACAGTGACAATTGCCTTGTGTATGTGGGTGGGCCCTTTCACGCCTTCACAAGGTGTTTAGCAGTGACTAGTCACATGAACAGCATGGGATAAGAAATACCCAGTGGATTGGCTATATTCCCAAGAGAGAACAGCAGAGCGAGGAATTTGGACTTCTTGTTAATGACTTTACTGTGTGAAAGGCCTGTAGGATGAACTTCTAATGGGTCAGTACAGGTATATCAGGGATAGAAAATGCACACTTACAACATTTACAACTAGAAAAATATTTGCACCGAGGTTATAAGTACCTCAGTATAAAGGATTTTCATCTGGAGAGGTGCTAGACTCCACCCACTGTCGTGTGTGTGTTTATTTAAATGATCTAAGGCACATCTTCAGACATCCACATATAAAGTTTTTAATAATTGGACATAGCTCAAACTAAGTCAGCCTTGTAGCTCGGGCTACATCAATTGGCCAAGACATTACAGTCAGTGTTAATAATGTTAATAATATTCAAATGTGCAGTTCCTCGGACTGTTGGCCTATACACAGAGTTTTAGCAAAATTGGATAAGACACAGTAGATCCATTTTGGTTTGGGATAAACACACAGACCACAATAATCCTGATTGTATGCTAACACAGAAGCGAGTGTAATGAAAATCATATTTTCAAGGGCATCCCAGTGGCCAAATGGTTGAGAAGCTTTTCTTATAAATGCAACTTCTCCAGGGATCTTTGTTGCACGCCATAATTATTTTTAAATGATGATAACAATTTTTCTAGTAAAGAAAGACAGTGTGAATATGTGAGGTGCTTTAACGTTTTGCAGATTATATGAATGGAAGGGCTTTTTACTTAACTTACATAATGCTACTCAGGTGGTTGGGAGGTTTTGGAGGTTATTCGAGTTCAACCATAAAAATCAGAGGGAAAGCTAAAGACGGTGTGAGAGAAACTCTTAACAGCATCACTTTGAACATAAGGTAAACTTGGAGCTACAACCTCCAATCGATCAATCCAATCGAGATTCTCATTGTGGTATAACCTACTGAGACCTCATTGCTCTTTTGGACCGGCTTGAGTGGCCCAAATCAAGCAATGTGCTTTCTGGAGAGAATGACATCTATGGTCTGGTCAACAGCCTGGAAGAGTCATGCAGGAAGGTGTCAAAGACGTCAGATGCTGGAAACTATTTGGCGATCCAACTGGAAGACAGCAAAGAAGGCTCATCTGGCAACTTAATCAGAAGACGAGCCAGGCTTATCTGCCATTGATGAGCTACCTCCAAACCAAAAAAGCCTTACATCAGCCCTTATTAATATTAATGCAACGTGCTTGGATCCAACCTTTTCTTTTGTCCTGGCTCAAAGATAGAAACTGTGTTTTTTTGTATCTTGGGGCATTGTCTAGGTAAGGGACCCCTATTGGGAAACTTTGGATTGGATGTGCATGACCGCAGCTTCATTATGTGTTCTTTTATTCATGAAGTTCTGGCTTTTTGATTTGAATTTCAGGAGCTGGAAAACCTTAACTGCCTTTTCTTCATCAGGTTATCCTAGATTAAGTTAAAATGGCCCACGTCTTACTCTGCCCTGCCAAAAAGGAAGGGACTAGGCAACGAAGTTTGCTACCTTTAGTTTTAGTTTTTTTCACGTTAAGTGTTTTTTTTTTTCATTTTTTATTTTGGAGTGACATCAAAGCATTGTGGGTAACAAATAACCTCACCTCACCTTCTCGTTCCAAGCGTGGAGGATAATCTACAGTGGCTGTGAAACTTGCAAAAAACTTGAAAGACCTTATCTAGAGCCAGTATGTCGTTTGTCTAATCTGGGCTACTGTAGAAACATGGCAGTTCAACGTGTCAGCCTCTATGGAAGAGGGCTGACTCCCTTTGCAGATAAAAACGTCTCATTTTAAGGTGATGAAAACACAATGATTATATATAATAATTATTATATTCCATTTCTACAAAAAGATCCTCCTAAATGTTACACACTGGACATTTAATCAACTTTCATTCATGAAGAACACTAAGGGTCTAAACTACTCTACAGCCATGTGGCTCAGAGGCACAGCAGCGCTTTGAGCTAAATGCTATTACCAACACACTGACACTAGATAAAAAGTTAGATGGTGACCAGAGTTACAATTCATCATGAGGGCTATGACTGTAGCAAATTTCAAGACAACCCATTCAATATTTGTCAAGACATTTTACTAAAAAATAAAAATGTGAACCTCATGGCGGCACGGTTTAAGTTCCTCCTATTAATTTGTAAACTCCATAGATGTAGATAGATATAAAATTCTACCAAATTAGGATTCATGCTTTTTCATAAGTCCCCTTTAATCATCAACACTTGACACAACGCCATGCTGCTGATATGGTTTCTATGTTGAGATGAGGTGGGAGGGACCATCTTGTGCCTAAGCAATATGTGCATATTGAGGCTTCTATGATGTTGCATCTGTCATGGTACCGTCTGTGGTGCGAGAGGATATGAGCCTTCAAAAGAAACACTGGATGGTGACACTACAAGAAGTTTTCTACCCTGCTCTAGCAGCTGTGGGTATCCCCTGTAAGTACATCAAAACTCTTGGCTCATCTCATGGCAAAATACTTTACTGTTTTATGACATTCAGAAATGATGCTGTTAATTTAATAGATAAGTGGTGATAGTGTTAGTTCTGAGGGAGATGCCTTTATTGACACAAATCTTTTCCTTAGCCAACACCATCACTTTTCTGATCATCTTGAGGAGGAACTGCATGCTCTCCAGGTCCAGCACCTTCTACCTGATGGCCATTTCTGTGGCTGACAACCTTGTTCTGATCTTCATTGTGGTTCTTGAGCTTTCTGTTAAGTACCACCAGCAGGAGCCGTTTTGGAGTTATGAACCATGGTGCAACCTGAGGGATATTTTTAACTACGGAGCATACAACGCCTCAACGTGGCTGGTGGTTGTGTTTACAGTGGAACGTTTTATCGCCATCCACACGTGGAAAATTAAAACCAAAATCTGCACTCCAAGATGTGCAGCATGGACTATAACGGCTGTTTTCATCTTCAGTCATATTTTTGCCATTCCTTACTACTGGTCTAATGCCTCAGTCTACGAGGACAACCAGACCAGATGTATTTACAAACCAGAGGCCCCGTCTCATTTCATTCACGCCCTGGTTTGGTGTCAAACGGTGCAAGCCTACGTATTACCCTTCCTCATCATCCTCACACTTAACGGGCTGACGCTGCGTCTAATCTCTCACAGCAACCGAGTTCATATCACTGCTGATTTGACTTCCAGGGTCAATAAAGTCATGCCCTTGCTGCGCTCCAGGAAGAGAAAATCTGTGGTGCTTCTGGTGACTGTGTCCATGAGTTTCGTGCTGCTGTCTGTCACCCGTGCTATAACTCAGATCATCCTCCGTACAACTCACATGTACACTTTGGATCGTAATGATTATAACCTCCAGATAAATATAGCAGCAGACGTCGGAACCATGCTGAGCCTGAGCAACGCTGCGGCTAACATGTACCTGTATGTATGCACTCAGTCCAAGTTTCGCCAGGAGTTTGTTGCCTGTGTCAGACAGGTGTCTTTCTACTGCAAAACAAAACTGTGTCCTTAAACACAATTACTGACAGTCCTTGAGGAAGTTTGTACAGGTGCACTTTCCTGGTGTCTGGTAACAGGAAATGATCTCATAACTGGTTAATGACTTTGTTTCTCTCAGCAGACAACAAGGACTTTAATTGAACCGCAGCTCCATAAAACACAATCTAATTTACTTTATTACTGTGTTTTACTCATTCTGTTCCTCCATTAAAGACCATGACCCACATCCCCACTGTTTGACATGGTAGTTTAAATTTCAGAATTAATTTCCTGCATTTGGTTTACAGACCCAGAGCTAACAAACAAGAAGGGCTGACTTGACAACTTGACAGCCATTGTCACTCTTGGTAAGGCAGTTTGTAATATTCTGGTACAAATGTGCAAATGTTGTACTTTTTTTAGTTTGATGGATACAAACATATTGCACTGAGATACTACTAATAATGTATGTAAAGCACTGATATTTTATGCATTTGTTACTATTTGATCATGGACCATATATTGATGATATACCGCATTTCTTCTTCTTGTATGATGATTAACTACAAGTCTGCAATAAAGTCCGTTTTCAATTTCTGTTTATTCTCCGTAGTCAAAACTGGTCATTAAAATTTTACAAAACTGTATCCTGATTTTTCACAAAATCAAAAACAACATACCGGTATACAGTTTTTCCAATGAAAACACTAAACAACAATGGCTCATGGTCTAAAACTCCTAAACCAACAATTTGTGCCAAGCAATACTTAATGTATAATAACAAAAAAATGTATAAAATACAAAAATATTACAAAAGCTTGAATAGATACAATATTGTACTGTTACTTTTCCCTGCAGGACTATAAACTAATCCTACCAGCAAAACCTTATGCTGAAAGCCTTTTGTCTGGGAAGTTAATGTTTATTTGCCCTCAACACATACAGCATTAAGTACTTTAAGATGTTAATACAATAAAAGTAAGAAGAATATGTGTTTATGTTTTGAGATGTTACAAGAACAGGAGTGCAGTTCTGGTTCCCATAGACTCTCCACAATGAATTGTTAAACAATCAACATCCCTCATTCAAGTTATTGACTTAACCTTGGGAGCTAGTGGTAGCATGTAGTGGTCATTAACGATGGCTCTGACAGTAATGACAGTGAGCCAGCGTGTACAACACCCATAAACTGAAGCAGCTAAATGGAATTCAGCCATTGTTAATTTTAATACTTACATCTGTGCTTTGCCTACTGTCAAAATGTCTTCTGTAAAAAAGGTCCATTACAAACCGTGTACAGAGGTATCACAGCGGCAGCTTCAAGAACAGTTTGACAGACGTCAAATAAATGAGGTGAAAAAAACGCAGTGGAAGACCTGAACAGCACTTATAGGTCACTTCCTGAAGGGAGTAATCCAGTAAAGTATTAAAGTTAAGTATTTTTTAAGCACCAAAGTTCTTGCTTCAACTCAGAGAGGGAACCTTATGTAGGACTTTATGAAAACATGCTAATAAAAACAATCCAATGTGAATTTCAGTGAAATAAAAGTCAGCGTGATACCATCAGCAAACTCATTTATTTTCCCTACATAAATCACATTATATATCTACATCTGTATATATCTCCATATATTCATAGCGCTCCTACATTTAAATCTATTTCTTTAAACAATTTAAAAAAAAAATATGTTCTTTCCATAGTTTAACATGAAATGGAAATGATGTTGATGCATGTAATATAGTTTAGTTTCTTTACAGATTCCTGATACTTGAATTCCTGAAAGATTACGTTGTAGTTCCATCTTTACTACAAGAACATTGTGCTTTACTGTCTTATCTTTGACTGACTTTGACTACATTCTAGTGTCTTTTAAGGAAAATATTAACTGTAAAATAAAATTAGATATTATATAGCATATATATCAACATCTTTGCCCAACCAATCTTCTCTAATCTGGACTATAGTGGCTCAACAGTAAAAGGGCGGGGGACAAAAATAGCATTTTAAAATGTCGCCCCCGTCCCCAGTAGAAATTGCGCCCTTGGGTGTACAGGATCTGGACAAAACTATAAATAAATCTTGATTGCCTTCAGGGAAACAACAGATTGGGACAAATTCCTCTTTTCATACATCTTTTACTGCTAAAACATCCTCAAAAACACTACAAACACGATAAAGACTCAGAAAGCAGATGGAATACTTGATTGGTCACCACAGAGACTGACCTCAACATAACTGAGGCTGTATAATTGCACACATCCTTAGTTAAATTTGAGTCGATCACAAAAAAAAAGACCCTGACAAAAACAACCAAAATCAAATGAAGAATTATGGCAAATTCTGACAAGTCCTTGAAGGACTTTACCGCAGGAGAAATATAAAATTTCCTTTGTTGTGGTGACTTACCCAACGCAAAATACTGCAGTTTTGAATTTTAAGAAACACTGCACAAAATACTGGCTTGTTTAAACAGGTTTCTGTTACTTTTTATTGTATCCATGTTTCTTTTTGTTTACTCCACTGTTTTGCACAAATAATAATTACATTTTTTTTTGTCCTATTACCAATGTAAGGCGCAAGGCCCCTGATCCTAAACTGTTTCAGTGTAACTTCCAGGTGCCAATGTAGAATTACAGGTTAAGAATTGCTGTATTAAAAAAAAAGAAAACTGGATGTAAAATAATGATTATAAAATTATAAAACCATCCTCTCAAATGCTTTTACTGCTCATAATATATAATGTTTAAATCTGACAGAAGAGTTTTCTCCAAAAGTTCTCTTCACCATGAGAAACAAATTACCTTGCGGTGAAACAATACTGGCCCGGTTTAAATGATACGATCAATAACTTTACTCTGGGTAATCTCTGGGAGACAAATCAGAACAAGGACTAACAGCTTCATTGACCTCCAGAAGATGACAGTGACTTTATTAAATGAATGGCCGACTGTTGTTGTTGTGTTTACATACAGTAAAGCAGCTTTAAAGACATTAAATGGTTGGTGTAGCAGGTTGAAATGCTACTTCTTCTTGCCACCTTTTGGAGCTTTTTCTAGTCCTTGTATGTACTTGCGAGGAATCTGATAGTGATCTGAAATTAAAGTAAAAGATTAGACAAACTGAATTTATTTGTACAAATAAAAACAAAACAAATTAAATTGTTAAAAAAAAAAAAACTTCAAGTATTATACATTTCCAAACCTAACAGCAGATTGCCAGCTTGATGAATCTGGTTGCCTTGGATCTGGACCAGGACTTTGTCCTTGGAACCAGGAATGGGCTGTATGACAGAGCTGGCCTGCACTCGGTGCTGCAAAGCTGTGGCTACGACTGCAGGATCCAAACCGTACACTTCCAGGTTCTTTATTAGAGTCACCTACAGGTATGGAAATAATTAGAGCTAGAAAAATAAATCATCCAGGCTCACAGATGACCCGATATTTAAAAGGTTGTCAAAAGGATTTATACTTTGATGTTTTTTAAATGATACAATGCTATCATTTGATAGTATTAAAAGTACCAAGACCAATAAACCCTTTTTGATATACAAAAGAGGCATCAACTTTCATCTTTTTACAGTATACTTATATTTATACACTTGTATTGTATCAAAGGTTATAATTCTAGTATCGTTACAACCTTACCGATACCAATATTAGCTTACCACTGACACATCTGTATTGTGTATACGTTAGCCAACAAGTAACAAGGTACTGCAGAAGAGAAATGCTCATATGTCTCACATAGCATGTTAGCAATGTCATCGTGAGCATGTTCAAATTACCATTTAGCCCAAAGCACCCGTGTGCACAAGTACAGCCTCTTGTTAAACTCTCATATATCAGCATCAGTAGAAAGAATCTTGAATAAATCCATGCTGATGCACAGTTGGATGTAGAAGTTGTCACCTTCTTATTAGAGCCTCGGGACCCCACAGAGATGTCAATGGGCTCAATGTGGCCCTTCTTTCTTACGGGTGCTTGTCCAGGGAATACAACTTGATAGCACTCCTGCATTCGTGCCAATGTCCTGTGAAAATGAGATGGAATTGTTTAATCTGCAACAAAAAGTTGGATGGCAGAGAGACAAAGACTGGCAGAATTGGGTCTGCTAATCTATCCATCTGTTTATGTACAGTAATGTATAGTATATGATTACCATCTTCATGTCAGCTAAAGCTGTAATTATACTTCTTTCATTCACTTTCTCACAGAGAGCAACGATGTGAAGGTAAGCACTGTAAAGGGCTTCTCAAAATATTTTCTTGTGTAAGTGAAAAGAAAGATCTCTCTTCACCTTGTCTTAACTATCATCAATCTCTACGGGGCAAGCTAACCAATCACACTGCATGTGTGGTCCATGTGGTACCTTTTTGGCATGTCAGCATCGAAAAAATCAACACGACAAATTCTGACAATGTCTGAACGCAACACTAGAACATCGATCAACTTACCTTTAAAAATAAACAGGTCAAGGCCAATCATGTATCAGGAACTCACCATGTAGTCAGCTCACCTTTGCTCTTTAATAACTCCCAGGGGTGGAAAAAGCAACGCAAGGCAGTTCTTTGCTTTTTTACGACCACTACCACCAAATCCCGCTGGGATTCTCCCACCAACAATGTTTTCCATTAGTCACTGCCTCAATACTGAGAAAAAGCGATTTTACTTGTTTTACCTTGTTTCTTTAAAAGTGTATTTTGTTTTTTATAGCATCACTTACAAACTACGTGTTGGGAGTGTCAGACTTCAGAGCAGCAGTATTATCATTGCTTACAGATCAGATTTGGATTATGGGCTTGCATTAGGATGATTATTTTATCCTGCAAAGATGATGCCGACTGCCTCCACCTGGCCGCATTATATCTATTAAATTATATAAATCATTATATATGTTAAAGTGTTACGTCAGAGTAAATTAATACTGTGATCTATTATTTCATTAACTAGAACAGCTTTAGAAGACAGAGATCTAATGTCCACATTTAATTATTGTATTTTGTGCTATTGTCGTCATCATTGTGGTTATATCATCATTATTAGTAATTTCTACTAGTATAGTTGTTGCTGTGCACCTTTGTCTTTGTCCTTCTCTCTTTAAACTTAATTGAATAGAATTGAATCTATAAAATTCCACAGTATGTATATACAATATCACTGTATGTCTTCACTTGTAGTCTCCCATAGTAGTGCAGATAAAATTTACCAAATCTGGCATCATGACTAAAGACTGCAAGCATGAGCAGATGGTCCAACAAAAAACAGAATAAGAAAATAAAATGAGTCTTTACCTGCTAAAGAGGTCATCCCACTTGAGAGACTCTACCTCCTGGTACTCATATTTCTCCAGCAAGCAGTCACACAGAATAGGGTTTATGGTCACGTAACTGTTAAGAGAGCACAATATGGGAAAATTCTGCTACGTAAAGCTATGCCAGTTCCATGAAAGATTTTATTTAATCTTTCCCATCACTCATTATCAATTTGTTCCACATGAGAAGATGCACAATTTTCATGACCTAAAAAGAAACATGAGATGTGTCTTCAGTTTCAGAGTCACATTTAAGCATTTTAGCCAATT